CCTTAGGATTAGGGTTTTGGACAACAACAATTATGTCATGCATAACCTAAGTTACGCCATTCGTCACCTATTAAAAACGAACATTCCGAAAACTACGCCCTACTTATGGAAAAAAAACCCAATTTTCCAATTTAACTTCAAACACCCGTAACTTCTTCATTTCAACTCTGTTTTTGACATTCCTTATATGCACAGACAGGTGTAGACGAGCCCCACAATCTTATCTAATTGCTTTTGACCAAAACCATATCGAACTAAAATCCTTAATTCATGAAAGAATCCCCAAGACATCACCTTTCCAACATTACCCTTTGCTTCAAGGCACAAATCAATGGCTTTAATCACTTAATCCAACATTGCTAATATTCGAAAAGGGCCTAAACTGTATTCCTTTTAAGCTCAAAACCATCACTTGATCAAATTTTGGCCTAGCATCTCGAAATTAAAATATTACTAAAACGAGGTGTTACAAAAAAACATAATATAGAAACCTATGCAATCACCAAGTGAATACATTTCCCAAAACTGATCCCTTACCCAAACCCCAAGTTTGAAGCTATAACTAGAGGAAAACCAATAGGATTAAAATTATAAAGATGCACACAATAAAAGCCTCAAACTCATACAAATAAACCTAACACAATGTGCCCAACACAAAAATGAACCTAGAGCCAATTACGTATTGCAAACATATATAAAACAGCCTGAATATTGCCTACACGTGAAAAAAAAAAATGCTAAACACATTATGTATTAAACTAAGATTGTGACCACCAAAGACACAAAATAATGATATTAAGCAGGCCCTAACCCGATCCCCCCCCCCCCAATTTTGCATAATTGAGCTGCAAGTTAAGGTATCTGAACTGATATTGTTGAAATATCTTTTGACACTAACATTAAATTAATTACAAAATTGTTTCTCAAGACAGTTTCCCTACCCACATGACTACTAAGCAAGGAGATGATTTCTGTTCTTACAAAACCTTTATTTTATCATCGAATGAATATCTTATGAAAATGAAATTGAATTATCATCATATTTTACATAAATCAAAACATTATATATGTCACTATTCTCCAGTCACTAGTATAGAAAGCATTTGTTGATGAAGTTAAAATGATTAATTGATGCGGGTGTTGAACCGCATGAAAAAATACCCTTATGTAATGGTGCAGTTACAAAACCGTATCAAAAATAGCCATAACCGCACAAAAAAATAGCCAAAATCGCACAAAAAATAGCCAAAACCGACTCAAAAAATAGCTAGCTAAAATCGCACCAATTAACAGGTTCGTGGTTGATGCACACCACACTACTTATGAAGCTTCATTTTCTTGTATTTAGGTATTTTCGGTGAGTATTTTTCAATAAATGGTTCAATCATAATATCTTAATCTAGTTTTTGAACTTTCTACCTATGATTCCATCAACTTCACTTTCCTCAACTGCAACTCCATTAGAGGTTCCAATTATTCGTTCTTTGATTTTAGTTTCTCCAAAAAGTGTGGTTTCCATATTTGCAATTTTGTTTCTCAACCAACTAAAATTTTGTTATTAGGAAATCACATTTCATCGATGTTGTTTTCAATTTCTTTTTCGACAACATCTTAAACCTCACTCTGCAAAAACTAATACCGACTCATGGAAAGTCACTGAAACTACATCATAAGTCTTTGGATCCCTTCATGTAGATATATCATGGAAGAAGAAGCATTGCAGAGATTCAGAATAAGAAAACATCATTAAAATTTAAATATGACATCAATTTACAATTAATAAGAGAAAAATGGAGTCTCAAATGCCATTAATGAAAAGAAGATAAATAATGAACATACCTCACATGCATTTTCAAGCATGGAATCGACAAATATATAATTATGAGAAGAGGATGCAAATTTTGAGGGAAATTTAGAGGGATCTCGGCATCTCGCCCAAAATGAAAAATTCGAATGAAATTTTTAGAGGAAAGATTAATTGTGCGGTTCAATGTTTTTAGTGCGAATTGTTTTTTGGTGAGTTCAATGTTTTTAGTGCAGATTTTTTTTTTTTTTTGACAGTTGTAATTGTTTTTTGGTGCGGTTCCACATGAATTTTAGGTGCGGTTTTGGGAAACCGCATCAGAAAATTCTTTAATAGTCTGATTTTGGGAAACCACACTAACAAAGTTATTTTATGGTGTGATCCTCTTATTTTTTGATGTTATAGATATTTAATAAGACGGTTTATAAAAAAGACCGCATCAAAAAATAAAAACCACTCACACTAGTAAATGACTTGTGTACTAGTGAGTCTTCCAAGATTCATCTTCAAGAAAAGTCAAGTTGAAGAATATCATTTTTTTTTCTTGATGAAGGTGTTGTTAACCCCGGTGATATATCTCTAAATATCTCCATCGATTCTTTTTAATTAAATATCAAAAAATTAGAAATTATTGTATCATTGGTGCAAGGCTTCAAATCTTATCTAAAACTTTTACAGCTCAATCTTAGTATGGATGTCGCTTGCTTCTTTTTGTGGGAAGGTCAACCAATTGATGGCGGACAAAAAAAACATCAACCATAGATTCTCTTGTTGGTCTCTGGGTAGAAACATTTAGCAATACCTTTAGACCTAATACTTATTTGTTACTCTCTTCAGAGTTAGACTTATGGGGGTGTATAGAGATGAAAAGTGTTTGCAGTCAGTTGCCTATGGTAACAATACATGGAATTCCATTAGGAAACGTTCTTACTCATGGTGGTGGTGTTAGAGTAGGAATCACTTAGGAACAATATTTATCCAACACCTACATCGGGCAACTATTTTTAGTTTTAGATATGTATGACTATGGTGTTGTTTGTATTTTTGAAGCGAAAATGTCTGAAGTTTGCGAACCGTCTCTGCAACCCTCTGTAGCAGAAAATGAGGACAAAACGGATGGAACATTTAATAAAAAGCCTATTTTTTTTTTAACCTTTACAGACTGCTGTAATAAGTTAAAATAAAGTGTGGATATGTTTGAAACACAGGGTCTTGTGTTGCGGCACGCAACACACGCAAAACAATTTTTAAATCAAAAGTATTCTGAAAAACAAACAATTGCGAAGGGCCAAGTGTTTCGTGTGTGCTGCGTGACGCAACACTAAATAGTCAGAAGTGGTTTTTTTTTAAAAAAAAAAAAACCACCTATATCAATGACTTCAGCGTTATGATGATAATGACATAAATAAGTATACTGACGAAGATTGTGAAATCCGAATGTTTTTGATCAACTTTTTTTTATTTTAAATATGTGTGTATCAATATTTTTTGTTTTAGATCGGTTAAGAATTTGAAACGACATTATTAGATTCTTCTTCCTCCGTAGACATTCAAGTACTCCTATAATTAGTCTATCGAAGATGATTTGTTGATGAAAGTTTTTTTTTTTTGGAAAGGGAACTTCCCTAACGAGGGTTTCCGGGCCAGCTTTCGCGCACCGACTAATCCCCCGCTGCAAACATAAAGCTTTGCCTCATGCCCTGGAGTCACTGCAGGCGAACCTCCATGGCCACAAGGGCTGAGTGATGCCAGGATTTGAACATGGGTCAATAGGTTATCCACCATATCTTCCACATGCCTTACCAAATCACCACAACCCAAGTGGTTTTGTTGATGAAAGTTAATCATCGAACCTAGGGTGCTGAGATGATAATTTTTTTAAAATTTTTTTACTGGAACAAAGTACAAGTAGGGTGTGTTAGGATGTTAATTTCGTCATATATGGAAATTTTGATGCATTTAATTTCAAATGAATTATACAGTTAGTTTCAACTAAATTACGTATTTATCCTTTAGGTAACGTTTGACAGATGGATCAGATGATGAAACAGGATTGGACAAAACAAAACAATTTATTTATATATCATTTGCTAAGAGTGGAGCAGAACAGATAACAAGAACAAGACATTAACTTGATAATATTGCCCTTCTACCACTACTAGAAAAAAGGCCTTTTACGACGCTCATTGCGCGTCATAAAACGCTCAGACGACGCGTAAATGCGCGTCAAGGAAGGCCCTGTCATAACGAGAGACGACGCGCATTTAACACGCGCATTTATGACACGCAATGCGTATCATTAAAACCGTTGTCAAGAAAGGCCATGTTATAAACGAATATGACACACATTTTTGCGTATCGTAAATTTATTAATTTTTAAAATTTTAAATTAAATTTGCATTTAATGACTCATAATAGAAATAAAATACCATATGCAAAAAATACAATCCATTGCATAAAATTTAATTTCATACAATTCTATTTCTTACAATATATAAATTTTCATTCATCTAATCTACTCTGTGTTTCATACAAAAAGTCTATTTCATGCGGCTTCTTCCATTTCCTTTATTTAGTAGCTTCCATCATTAGTAGTACAACTAACAATTCAAATGAAGAATGCAACACTTGCATTTGCAGCATTTTATCTCTTTTAGCTTGAGTTTTCTTTTCCTCTTCTAACTCCATAAGATAAGAAATATTCCCTCATCTCATCAACAAATCAAATTTACAACACAATATCAACACAATATTCCCCTGCATCCATTTATCTCACTTATATTATTCCATTTTAAAATAAGAGATTAATAATAAATTTAAAATAATGTACAAAAGAAAAATATGAATATTGGTTATTATATTTAAACCTTCCATACTTTGAAATATATTAATTGTGTTGATGGCAATGCACTTGTTGTTTGTTGTGTGAGACAAACATTAGTTGTATTGTATTTCACACCACCAGTTTGCATGAAATAGATAAAAAAAATGACACACCTACAAAAAGAATGAAATTTGTCAATTAATTTGTAATTTTTAAGTTACTTTGTTTCTAATAACATTAGTAAGGGTACAATTATGGAAGAGATGCATAAAAATCCCTTTAATTAAGCAAAAAAAAGTACACATATGTGTATATGAATGTAGATATATGTATAATTATATGTATGTATGTATAGAGAGATGAAACAGGTACTCACGAACAATTAGAATAGACAGAGAAGCGTGCATACAACATAGCATCAGTAACCTCAGGGCTAAGATCACCAACAAATATGTTATAATGACCTGAAAAGGAAGAAAGTAATAATGTCATGAGGAAATTAAGAATGTAGAAAAGAATATGGGTATATAAATTATTCCAAAAAGGGTATTAAGTCCTATACCTGATGTGTCCTCCCTTTGTATAGTGACATATGCCCAATTAACTTTGATAGGTTGTCCAAATCCTAAGCGAAGCATTACGCTGAAAGAACCTGCTGTGTTTGATCCAAAATTATATCTCAGCAACATGACTATTTGTTGCTCCTATTCACATTCATATTCATATCATATTATCAGATTAAACATATCATTTCTTTACTCAAATCCCAATGATTGATTACCATACCTTAAGTTGCTTCGCCACATCTCTAGCACATGATCCCGAAACTTCAATCCACGTTTTTGAGAATAGAGATAAAGCAGAAGCTGTCAGCATGAACACCAAGTACAAAAGAGCATGAAATACTCAAAACTCAAAACAAACAAAAACAATAACACGACTAAATTATATGCTTTACACAAAATCACAACTTCATTCCAAATCTTCAAATTATCCCAATGTTATTATTTCATTTGGTGCTTTACTCAAAAAAATTGCTAGTTTAGTCCGAATTTTCAAGTCATTTTATATGGTTGGTATCCGCAACAAAATGCAAACATAAGGATAACATTAAAATTTTGGACCAAGCACAATGATCATATTTCTAATTTAGTCTTAATTATAAATAATATCACATTTACCTTGAAGGTGCAGTGACATAGTAAGCGATGCCACCAACAGGGACAGATTGTCCAGAGTATTCAGACTCCTTCCACTTTCCCAATAGATCAACCAAGAAATTTCTACTGTATTTTCTGTGTAATAACTACCAATCAAGCAAATAATATAAGCAACACAAATAAAGAAAATAATTCAAATATAAATATAATTATATGGGTGCCTGAAAGATGAAATAGAGGTTGGAAACAAGTGCAGAATGAAGAATGAAGGCTACTCCATCAAGATTCTCCATCCTGAAGATTGAAAAAGTTGTTAAACTTTTCATCTGATATCTAAAAGATAAGAAGATAGATGTATCCTGGCATTCGGGTCTGCACCAGCAGCTACCAGTGAAACGCCAGGTCATCATGGGGACATGACAATGATGACTCAGACTGTTCCAGTGTCCCAGGAAGTGAGATGCCAGGTCAGCAGTGGTGGTTCTTCTGGGACTGGGACTACTTCGAATTTAAGAGATTCCATTCCAAAGCTGTTTGCATCTTTCAAGTCTCAGAATCATGTCCTTTCCTTTGTTGTTATACTCATGGCTGTAATCATCCTTCTCATGCAGGTTTGTTACTATTAAGGGTAGTTTGGTCTTTTTCATATATGGCTTAATGAGGGGCAATAAGGTCCTTTTGCAATTATCATTCATTTTGTTTTTGTTTTTGGTTTTCTACAGATACACATTATGGTGTTGCTGCTAAGACCACAAACTGTCCAAGTAGTTTCCAACACAAGTTGGATGAGCAACATCAACACACGCATAGACATGAGGGGCGGAACAGTCAATTTACTAAACAAACAGATCGACCGTCTAAAAGAGGAGACAATAATCGTTGAAACATTGCTACAAAAAATGAGACATGAACAAGATATGTGTACCCAACCTATAATCCCCATCCAAAGTCCCTGCACCAGAGAAAGGAATTACACTAAAAAGAGGGGTTCATTAAATCCTGAAATGCCATTGGAATGGAAAATATGATTACACGATAAATAAAGTTCTTTATTTTGAATCATATTATTTGATGAATCCATTCTCATTTGTTGAAGCAATTGGAACAGAACCTTAATCACATAGAAAGGACAAAAAGAAAAAGAAAAAATATTATGTTTACTACAGCCCCTGTACGTGAAATCAAAAGAAAAGAAGGAAATAAATAGAAATAAGTGTGTGTGTGTAACGGATTGGAAAACTTCTAGCTTATCAAAATTACCAGTTTTTGTTTCAATTACAGGCCATGGTTTAGTCGTTTGGGCATCCCCTGTTCGTTGATGACTTAGGTTGTTAAACATGTCTTTGACAACTAGAAGTAATTGGGCGAATAATGGGGATAGATTCAAGAGTTATAAATCAAATTAAATAAAATTAAAAAGAAACGAAAAAGAAGCAGAACAATGTTCATGTGTTTGTTATTGAGCAGTTGGGTCTCTAAACTTACCAGATATCAATAGTTGATTAATGATGAAGAAGGAGCCAATATTTCTCTCGATGAAGAAGTCGTGGCGTACAACGATGAAGATTTCAGACCATATTTGAGCTGGTTGACCATATTTCTTCTGACATTTGTGTGCATAATACTTGAAATTCAGAAACCCTAGATGTATAAAGCACGCTTCGTGAACCCTATAGGAACAGATAAGAAACTAATAATCCATGTGTGTTTGTGAAGGAAATGTGTGTGTGTGGGGGGGGGGGGGGGGACGAACTAGGGTTAGAATCGAAGGAAAGGAAATGTATATGGAATGTAATAAACCGGGACACTCCGTCGGAATTGAACTACAGGTCCGACTGATTCCAGGGCTAGCCACTCCGGCGATGCTAACGAGAGAAAATCTCTAGGAATAAAAGAAGGTGAATCGTTGTTTGTAAACAACATACTCCATTTGCATACGTATGTGAAGGAGAGAAGAGGTTACCTAAAAATGATACTTCAGCCAATCAAGAAGTTAGGGACAACGATGCCAACGGTGGCGGAGCAAGACGCCAACCACAACGGGCCGTTTTTTCTCGGGACGATTTCTTGAATCTTTTATTTTTCGGCGATATTTTATTCATTAAAAGCAAGAATGGGGAGAAACAGTATGGAGAGGATGAAGATTGAGAGGAATCACTGTGCGGAGGCTTGTCAGCCAAGAAATCGACCTTTCCTTTTCTTCTTGGCCCGATTTATTACATTCCATATACAACAAAGTGGTGGTATGTACCAAGGAGGAGAGAGAGAGAGAGAGAGAGAGAGAGAGAGAGAGAGAGAGAGAGAGAGATGGTGGTGATTCTGATCGAGGTGAGCGTTCCTGTGGAAGGAGGAGACGCAACAGGCGGGGTTTTTTATTTTTTCGATTTCATTTCCCCCTGCTATTAAAAAACGAAAACGCGCGCTCAAACTAAAATTATAAAGCGACAAGGTAACACGACACGCTCTTTAGGATAGGTGCCCTCCGTGTTTTTAATTTCTTTTTGTTGGACACTAATTTTAGGGCGCCCACAAAATGCGTGTCTTCTATCCTTCAAAATTTGCAAAACTGACATTATCTTTTAGGGCACGTGGAAATGCGTGTCCACTATCAGTGAGTGTCATTGTTTACGCATCGTAAAAGGTCTTTTTGCTAGTAGTGTACAAAAATAAAAGTAAAAACTACATTAAACAAAATTAACAAAAATCTACATTAAACATAACAAGAACAAGACATTAACTTGGCAATATTGCCCTTCTGCAAATATAAAAGTAAAAACTACATTAAATAAAATTAACAAAAATATATAAAAAAAATTATTTAAAATTCATATACGAAATTCAAAGGAATTTACCAATTACCAAAAATCATCAATTAAAAAGTCCATGAAATATTAATCAAGAAATCAAAAGAATAAGTGTGCTAGAAGCATTAAGCAATTTAGAAGCAACAAAATAATAGATAGCTATTTGAGAAGCATTAATTAACCGAATAAACTAATTGAAGCAAAACCGATTCTACTAATAACAAATTGAAGAATTAACCAATTTAGAAACATTGACTAACTGAAGCATTAACTCATCAGGGATAAAGTTACATTTATGGAATATTCATTAATGTTTCTATTATTAAACACATTACACACGTAGGGTTTAGGGTAAGAAACATTAATTATTTGAGAATCAACAAAAAGTAAATAAATAAATAAATAATAGATGGAGTTGTGCACCACTGCTGAAGGAGATAATCTAGAAGGTGTAATAAATGGAAGTGTCTAGGGAATTTATATACATCATCAAAGCTTTAGATAAGCACGGCAGAATGAAGAAGACGCCGAAAACAGAATGAGTACATAACATTTGTCAAGGAATTTTTGTCATACGTGAAAATGGAAGACGTGTTCTATTGTGTTCCACTCTATGGGTGGGACTGAATTTTTAACAAATAGTTTCATTTAACTTGTTAAAATTTTATTTTTTTCTGGTCCAATATTTAGCGAACTCTTCTTTCAAATTCTAGTTATGATATATGATTTTGTTTCTAAGTCGGAGCATTAAAGTGACAAATGAAAAATATGTGGCCGATGTTAAATTTTAAGATCCTTATTATTTTTTTTTTTTAATTTTAAGTGAATCATCATTTATATATATACACACGGAGAGAGAGAGAGAGAGGGGGAGAGAGAGAGAGAGAGAGATTATTTTTTGGTAGTAAGGTAAGAATTTTTTTTTTTCGGAATAATTTTTTAGCGAACAAAACAAATAAATCATTTAATAAATAAAAAATTACATTATTTAAAAAAACGATTCCCGAAAATACATCTCAATGAAATTGATGAAATTTATATTATGATGATCTTGTTGATATTTAATAAAATTGTTATAAAAGTGTGTTTTTTTATTTATTTATTTATAAATGAATATGAAGGTATTTTTTGAAACTTTTTTATTGTTGAATCAAATGATTTTTTTTTTGTTTCCTACAAAGATATGTATATAAAAAATTTGTTACGTTCCACTACAAGGAAAAAAAGATAAATAGTAGCAACAAAAGTCGTCGGTAAAAGGTTTAATTATCACCGGTAAAAGTAATAGTAGCGACATGTAGCCGCTAATAAATCGCCGCTACTGCTTCGTCTTTTGATCAAATTGTCACCGCTAATGAGAATTGTCATTGCTAATGAGGTTATCGCTGGTAATGATAATGTCGCCGGTAATGATGTTGTCGTCGATAATAACTATTTTTGTCTTTTATTTTTTTTTATTCAACAATTTTGATTGCCGGTAATAATGTCGCCGGTAATTACATAACAATATTCGATTAAATATTAAAAATAATAGTGTCGATGCTAATTACAAAACAAACAACCGATTAAATATCAAAAGTAATAGCGCCGCCGATAATCACATGCACATCCGATTAAATATAAAAAGTAATAATGTCGTCGGTAATAGTGTCGCCCGGTAATTACATAACATCCGATTAAATATAAAAAGTAATAATGTCGCCGGTAATTACAGAAAACAACCAAAAATTTTACAATATAAATAGCTGCAAAGAATGACAACAAGTGTAATATGCAAATAAAACTCATCTCTACATACCATCATCTTCATTTGCATCTTTTCCTCGATTATTTTGGGATTGAAAAAAAAAAATAAAGCTCATTCCTATATGTCGGGTTGCTGAGCATTTTACGAAGATTTTCCAACTACATAATTAATACCAACATATATAAGCTTATAAGTTAAATTATCAAACATAAATAAAAACTATCATAGTACATTGCTATTTTTAAATTAAGACAAAAAGCCAAAGAACATTACTATTTCTTGCACTTGGGACAAAAACCCAATTATCAAAGTTTTTAGCAAATAATCACCACAAACCAAAATTACCAAATCAACATGCATTTTATGATGCTAAAGTATATTACTATTTTTAAACTAAGACAAAAAATCAAAGTACGTTTTTATTTTTTGCACTTGGGACAAAAACCTAATTACCAAAGTTTTTAGCAAATATCACCACAAAACCAAAATTACTAAATCAACATGCATTTAATGATGCAAAAGTAGATTGCTATTTTTAAACTAAGACAAAAAACCAAAATGCATTGCTATTTCTTGCACTTGGGATAAAAACCCATTTATCAATATTTTAGCAAATAATCATCACAAAACCAAAATTACCAAATTAACAAGCATTTTATGATGCAAAAGTAGATTGCTAGTTTTAAACTAAGACAAAAAACCAAACTACATTGTTATTTCTTACACTTGGGACAAAATCCTAATTACCAAAGCTTTTTGCAAATAATCACCACAAAAAAACAAAGTAGATTGTTTTACCTATGATGATTGTGGTGATGGTTGCGATGACCGTGGAATCGGCGGAAGATCGGAAGGTTTATGGCCCATGCCTTTGATATGACGACGTCGCTCTCCTAATACTTTCTCAAAAGCAACTCTTTCTTGAGTAGGTGTTAACTCACTTTCACATTGGGTTTGTTCTAAGAGCATTTCGACTAACCAATTATGTAACTCCCAAAAGTGAGTAATAATTAAGTATAAATAAACATTTAATTATATGATAAAATTATAATTAAATACTTACATATTGTTGTTCCGCCTCAGCAGTACACAAATACACCATCCCTATCGGTATAAGCATTGCTAAACGTTTCCACTCTCTTAAGGTTTTGTTTGACTTTAAAAATAATATTATATTTTAAATAAATAATTATATGCATCGTACGTTACCTTCTTATAGCAAGTACTTTTATACGAGCTCGGCCCCCTACGATTCACATTTGTTTGCTTTTCACGGACTTTTTTGTTCCAATCTGAAGTAATTTTGTGTTCGTCTGTTTGGAAATACTGAACTGCTTTCTTCCGCTTATCAACTTTCATACCCTTTGGAGGGTTGGCTAATGCTCTTGGGATAGTTTCATACTCTCCGACTAACATAAAGTATTCTTTTACATTAGCTTTACGTTCTCGATAACCTTTTAACAAAGCTGCTTGAAAA